TACCATCTCTGCTATATTTTTAATAAATTCAACTCTGCTTGTACTTTTCCCTGAGCAGGATGAATGGTTGGAAGATGGATGGATGGATGGATGGATGGATGGATGTACATAAATTACAGTCTGCATAAATTCTGCTCTACGTAGATTTCCAATACAGATTAAGGACACGTTTCTTGGTAAAATGTGTTTCCACCTCTAGGCTCTAACAGTTGCCAGAGGCCCCTCTGTATAAAGTATTAAAGAATCATGTGACCTTTTAAAAGGATTTTGATTGCCTTATTTTCCCTTCCAGGGTCTTTTGAACAACTTTTGCCAAAGAAAGTAAAACTTCGATTTCTGACAGTCAACATCAGAGGAGTTGCAATTAATCCTTGGCAGTTAATGACTTCATCTTTTAATTTAAGTATTTTTAATGGATATAATGACAGGACAGTAATGAAGGCCTTAAATAGTTTGTCAAGGTGTGAAGGGTGGATATGAAACCATGGCATTAATCTTGGTGATGTCTTTGTGACAGTGCAATCTCTCTCTCTCTCTCGCTCTGTCTCTTTCTCTCTCTCTCTCTCTCTCTCTCTCTCTCTCTTTTTCATATTGAAACACATTTCTAGGGCCTCTGCTGTTGACACCCTAATCCAGGAATCTAATCTGAAACATTATTTTAAATAGGCATAATATATTTAAAATAATACGTGTAAACAGACTGGTTATCTTCGTCTAGCCGAAAGAAAGCTCCTGATAAGGAACGGTGTAAAAAATCACAAGATCACTTCTAGCATTCACGAACAAACATGAACATGCATGAGGACATAGATACCTAGTCTGCACACCACAAAGTGTGGTTCTTCAGAGTCACATGCAGTAGCTTCAGATCCGAGCACTTCCTCCGTGTTTGGCTAATTTTAAGTTTTGCTTTGTGGCGTTTTTAATTAGCAACTGTTTCTTATAATCTATGCCACACAAATCCAAGCGAAAATAAATGGGGGGAAAAATTAATATATCATTTAAATAAAAAAATAATAATATTTGAGTATTCAGGTTTTGTTCTGTTAGCTATTGTTATCATTCATATAGCTGATAATGATAAAATCGCTGTACTGTTGGTCTCTGTGCCCCATTGAAGGAACGTTGCAGTTGCTGGATAAAATCCCCGCTCTGGATAGGGATCAGCAGTCAGACGCGGAATCACAAAGAATCGGTGTTAAAATGAAGATGAAGGAGTTTTCCATACATGGCAACAGCCAAGTGTGTCAAATGCATAGATTAGAAGAAGGGAGCATTTCAAAGACTGCGGAAAGTCCAAAAGCGAAGTGATATCACACTGCCTGTGCCTTGAAGCTTGGGGAGGCCAGCCCCCGCACTGAAGGAGCACCAGGGCTCAGCCACTCCAAGCCTAAACCTGATCTGCACAAGGAGGTCAAATTATCATGCGTGGTTTTGAATTACAATTAATGTAAAAATGTAAAAGAGTCATTTGTTAGGATGTAATGAAAGCGTTCATAGGGAATACCATCACAAGGAGCTGTTTATGTAAGAGTGAATTAAGCATGCAGATTGCTCCTGTTCTCTAGCTTTGCAGAACATCTTGTCTTGTGTTCCACCCTCCTGGGTTCTAACTATCCCCTTAACCGCGTTCTGGGCCAGGCTCCTCGCTCTGCTCTCAAGCTGTTCCTGGCTGTATCTACCTTTCTCAGAATGCCGTCTGCTCCCGTGGTACCCAAAGCACACAAGTCTTTATGTGGCACGGATGTTATCGATCTGCCGCTTGACTCGATATCACGGGCTGTCCTCGACGAGGGTGGGACACACGGTGACTCAGCGTGACATCTGATTCGACGTAATGGGTCTCCGTGAGGGAAAAGAAGACATGCAGTTTAATGGAGTTAATTATTTTCATTTGAGTCTGTAGCCTGAAAGCCCAGCGTTGGGCAGGAGGGACCTGATTAAGTGGTAAAGTGACTGATTAGACATGAAGGGGCAGGTGCTTTGCCTTTTGTAGCAGCGTGCATGAATACACTGGGTGCCTTGTGAGCACTGTACAGCATTGCTGTCTGTGTATTGAGAGGGATTTAGAGCTGTTAGTCAGGGGCTTATACAGGGGCGGCGCCACTGATAACTGATTGGCCCCCGGAATATGCCCTGCCCTGTCACTCACCAATTCAAAACATATCATTGGCTATTGATAAGATTGATGCCTCTCACCTTAAAAAAATCCCAGAATTGTCCCTGATGTGTGTAGAGGAGGGAGAGGAAATGCACAAGAAGTGTAGTATCCCAGCGACACTTTGTTTCAGGTGGAAATACTGAAATCTATCAAAGAAATCTCTGTTTGATTCCTTCAGTGGATGTTATTTTTTGGAACATGATTGGCTGCCAGAGGATAGAAAGTACTAGAGGTGATTTTGGTGAAAGCCAAGGCTAGAAAGGAAAGCTATCAACTGCCATTGTACCACGTCGGCCAAGAGACTGGGCTGCAGTCATAGTACGCTGGAGTTAGGGCAGCAAAATGAAACGGCAGTAGCTGCAACCTCTGCAGGAGATGGAGGATCTGCCTGTTTCTTCACTAAAGAACCAAGCCGGCTGATTTCAAATGTGTGAGATGCAAACATATACCCACTCTGCCCAGTTCGGCCCAGTTCTGCCGCATCAGGAGGTGGGTAAAGGGTAATTTATGGGCAGCTCACGTTCGCATTTTCCTCTAAATCACCCTCCTCCCCCCCCCCCAAGCCGATCTCCCTGAATCGTCGATCACAGTTAAGTTCTCCGGTGAAGCGTCGCTTCCTGCTTCTTCACGTGTTACGATAATAAAAGGCTATAAGTCAGTGCGGCCGCGGTGTGGTGCCCGTCTCTGCTGGCACGAAAGCCAGCGTCGCACGGAGGCTTAAACTGTGAAATTGCACTAAAAGTGCAAACAGCTTCATCTGCTGTGGCTGTTATTGGTGCTCATTAAAGACATTAGCTAGATGATGAACTATGCAGGGTGATGAACAGCTCCCTCAACACGCTCCTCGCTGTCAGCTCTCCGGAAGCTTCCCCCATGCCTCGGAACGTGTGATACACTAACAGCGTGCTAAATGACGGAGCAAAGACTTCATGCCTCCTACAGGGTAGGTGTGGAATCTCTTTCTCTGCAAAGGCCAGTCCTAACTAGCTTGTTAACAACTGACTAACCTGCTATATCAGGTGTGCTACCATCTAACTTTAGGTATAATTCATGCTGTATAATGCCACCCAGAATCTCTGTGGATTCAGAAATATGTTTGCTTAAGAAAAGAAATGTATCAGAACAGAAGGTTCTCCTGTTTTTATATGTTTGGCATTAAGGCTGAATTTGTGGTTTAAAAGACTGCATGCCTTTTATCCCAGGAAGTGCAGTTAATCCTGAATCTCTTCCGTATTTGCTGAACCGTAAATATGACAAATGGCCATTCATGGGGTGTGTCAGCCATTTGTTATTAAACCATTTGCTAAGCAGATAAATAATAGTAACATGCAAGTTTATGGAATATGTTGTGTGTAAATCAGTGTCATGTATCAGGTTTTGTGGCACTGCAGGTGTTTGTGTTTGTTTTTGTGCAGTTGAGTGTTTTTCCACTTCAGTATTGCCATCCGTCCATCCATCCATCTTCTGTACACTTATCCTGATCAGAGTCATAAGTCCAGTATTACCAATAGGAACTAATTTTCTAATTAATTGTCTAATTTATTATTATGAATTAATCATTCGTTCCACTTTATCCGTATCGTATTTAACGGACATACGTGTGTGACGCGTGTGGGTTTATGGGTATGCGTGTGTGACTTTCAGCTGCGGCTGACGAGAGGAGCGAGGACGCAGGCTGAGCCAGTTTCCCTGGCAACACAGGGCCTGTTTGTGGGGGACTTGCGTGCGTGAGAGAGACGTCCCGGCGTAAGGCGCTGTAACCCGGGGACGTGATGTCCCCACAGCAGTGTCATGTCAGCTCGCATCTCTGCATGCGGGTTTCGCATTATTCCTGCACGACTTCAAATGTCTGTTTTTTCCCATTATGCTTTGTAAAACTGTCTGATATGCGACGTGTTATCTCGGGTAAGATATGTCTGACTTTTAATTCCTGTTCCGTTCCATTGGGGATTCGGATTTAATGACAGTGACATACCTGCCCACCCGCAGGGGATGGTCTTGTTATAAAAATAAGCATCCTGCCAGCCGGCCTTTTTGAAGTCGTTTGTAGATCTTTCCCAAGTTTCTGAGTGATTGAAGTGATCAGTAGCTGAATTGCCTGAGAGGATTTGTTCGTTGAAACAGCTTTATTAAAAATGGCACAGTTAAAAACTGGCCGCAGTGCATTTTTGAATCATTGGTGGTTTAAAGTCTGTTTCATTAATATATGGCGTGGATTTCCTGTGAAGTTAAAAACAGCCGTATGCTACACTGCATTGCTCATATCTGCTTGATGTCTGTTTATCTGTGAATATGGCGAAATCAGTCACAAAGTCCCCGTTTATCTGTGAAGCCCCCACTGCGTACGTGACGCTGCGGCTGAGTGAGTGTGTCCGTGTGACACTTGCTGGTTTTTCACAAAAACACTCTGATGCCCTTTGCGTGAAAGTGACACCCCCGTCTAACACCCTGTGTGACTCCTGTCGCTGAGTTAATGTGTGCGACCCCACACGTGACGGCCCTGTGTCTGTTCAAGGATACAAAGGATTTAAAATCATTCTTTGTCATTTATACAAGTACAAATACAATGAAATATTTGCTTGCGCCTCTCTCTTAAACAACATAAAACAATAAAGATCAGTAAACAGGAAATGAGAGTAGTGAGAACAATAATATACATACAATGTATACAGTATACAGACCATATACCTGCAATGATTACAGTATGTATGCAATATACATACATACATACCATACATGAATGATAACATGGAGCCGGGGTTACAGTGTGAATGACATGACGTTGGGTGACAGTGACATCATCCTAACCCGCCCACTGCCGTTCCTCCTGCCCCTACAGATTTACCGACGCTGCTGGTTGGTATTCAAGAAATCCTCCAGCAAAGGTCCCCGACGCCTGGAGAAGTACCCAGATGAGAAGTCAGCATACATCAGGAGCTGCTCCAAGGTAGCGGCCGAGCGGGCCGGCACAGACCCCCGCTGCTGCCTCATCGCTCTTCTCCTCCGCTCTCACGCACCTCGTCTCCTTCCATTTTCCCTTCCTAACCCCCCCCCCCCCACCCCCATTTCGGTCTTTCGTCTCTGTCAGTGAATCCCAACTTTCCTATGGTCGCTGTCGTTTGCAGCATCTCTCTCTCTAAGTCTCCCCTCCCCATTTTCTCGGTCAGGTGACGGAGATTGGCGACGTGAAGGCCGTGACCAGGATCCCGCGGGAGACCAAGAAGCAGGCGGTGGCCATCGTCCTTCCGGACGATTCCACCCGCACCTTCACCTGCGACTCAGGTGAGCCGGAGAGGTTCGCCCAAGATGAGCTTTTGCCCGTAACGGGTCCTCCTCTGCTTCCGGGCCCAAAGAAAGCCAGCTCGCCTTGTCCTGCACCTGCTCCATGTCCTTTCTTAATTCAGGGGTGATTTAGAGCATGTTTTAAAAACAACACCCTCATTCTTTTGTCAATGTATGGCATTGGACCCCTGTGATGTTAAAAACAGCCGTATGCTGCAGGGCTTCTTAAACTTGCTTGACGTGTCGGTGGAAGGAACCATTCTTTCAGTCGCGGTCTGAGACAAACTATAAACTATCAATTTGTGAGCAGTTATATTTGCAAAATCCACTGTTCCGCCCATGACTCAACCCTTCAAAGGATCTGCTCGAGATTCCTTCTGTTCCCCCTCAGAGCTTGAAGCAGAGGACTGGTTCAAGACCCTTTCTATCGAGTGTTTGGGAAACCGGCTCAACGACATCAGTCTGGGGGAGCCTGACCTGCTGGCTGCGGGGCTGCAGTGTGAGCATACGGGTGAGCGCCTGCAGCTGCGTCTGCAGCTGGATGCAGGCCCGGCCGCGCTGCGGCGACCACACCCGTGTGACCGCCTGCTGTCTCTCTGTGTTTTTGCGGCAGAGCGCTTCAACGTGTTCTTATTACCCTGTCCCAACCTGGACATCTACGGCGAATGCACGATGCAGATCACGCACGAGAACATCTACCTGTGGGACATCCACAACCCCCGCACCAAGCTGGTCACATGGCCGCTCTGCTCGCTAAGGCGATACGGCCGCGATGCCACACGCTTCACGTTTGAGGCTGGCAGGTGAGGGAGTTGACGGGGGGTGTGCGACGCCACTCGCTTCCTGTGCCTGGGCCGGCAGGTTTTCATGGTCGGGTTTTTTATGAAGCGCTAAGCTGACAGGCCAAGGTCGGGCCGGTAAAGCCCCTTCGATTGGAGGGGTGGGGAAGGACAGGCGAGACGTTGACGGCCCTGGTAGCCGCTCCCCCAGCCACCCAGAGGGTGATTTACACAAGCCAGAGTCACGGGGCTCAGGGACAGCAAGATTGAACAGATTAGGGGAAAGTCATTGCTTGACACACACGTCTTATCTCGTCCTTCTCTTTTCATTCTTAGTGATGAAAAGAAGACAGAATTCATTGCTCTGGCGGGGCATCCCTCAAAGGACAAAGGACTTGTGTGTCATTAGCTGGGAAAAAGGCAGTAGGCTACCTCCTGGTGGCAAGTTTATGTACTGCAGAAAATCGATTGTGATCATGTTAATATAGCTGTAGGCATAAGCTAACTGGAGCTACATCTATTATCATGATGAAATAGAATTTACTCCTCCGCTCCTTTTTCATTTTGTGATGTTTTATGGACCATTTTTGCTCTGTATTCTGTATGTCAGTTAAATGGGATTGAAATCATTTTGTGAGCATTTATGGATACTGGTGTTTGGCTTACGTGTGTGCATATTGTTGAATTATTAGAGTGTGTGGGTGTGATCGGAGGGGTGCGTGCGGCCAGACTCAGCGCACTGTCTCTGCGCATGCTCCCAGGATGTGTGACAGCGGAGAGGGTCTGTACACCTTCCAGACTCGAGAGGGGGAGCAGATCTACCAGCGGGTCCACTCTGCCACGCTGGCCATCGCCGAACAGCACAAGAGAGTGCTGCTGGAGCTGGAGAAGAACAGCAGAGTAAGACAGAAACACAGGAAGACCATGCAAACACAGGAAAACCACACCGAGACAGACTAACCTCACTGAGACAGACAAACCGCACAAAAATAGACAAACCACACAAACACAGGAAATCCACACCAGTCATGCCATCATTGCACTCTTGGGTACCGCCTCAGTATCAACACTAACCTGGCAGAGGAAGGTGGTGATGGGGCAATGTTTATGGTGATGTTTGAGGCCAGCGATGTAGATGTTTTTCTCTCTCTCCACCTCTATCCCGTAGTTGCTGCTGAAGGGTTCAGAGGCCAGCTCCTACCCAAGCACCCCCACGGCCGTCCTGCCCCGGAGTGCATTCTGGCACCACATCGCGGGTCCCCAGGGCAGCCTGTGCTCTATTACTGGTGTGTAGGGAGCAGGCCAGTCAGTCAACAAGCAACGGACACTTGAAACATTTTACATCCTACTGTTGTAATTCTGGTTTGTTTGATAACCTCGAGGGTGCAGCAACGAGCAAAAGTGGCCTGATTATGACAGCTGTAGTAATCAGCCAATGATATTCGATTTAGCCTAATTATGACAGTTAAACAGTCAATGAAATTCGATTTTGTATAAACAATGTCTGTCAGTGAGATTCAAGAGGGTGTAATCAAGAGGGTATTAAAAACAGCAGAAGAGTTGTTGTAAGGCAGAATCTCTTCTTGTCCTTGGTAGTGATTCTGTTCCTGTCACGCTTCTTGTGATATACCTACAATCTCTCCCTCTCTCTCTCTCCAAGGGGACATGTTCAGCAGCCCACAGACAGACCCTGATGCTGACATTCTCCCCACTCGTTATCCTACTGAACACCATCACCAGCGCACCCCAGAGCACTATTCCTCCTACCCCAGCCAGTGAGGGGTGCCGCCCACCTTTTGCTAAGGCCCCGCGGACTGCGTTGCCATGCCAGTGAAGCGGGAGATGTTCCTCGATGCCCACAACAGGAGGACCAGACCGTCTGCTTCTGCTCCCTGAAGAACTACATCCCCCAGCATCCTTCAGTGTGCTGTGGGAGTCCCATAGCCGGGTTGGGTGATGTTGCGTGTGATCCTGGGGTTTGCTTAACAGCAGTTTGGTCTGTAATATACCTGCATGCTCCCCTCACCTCCTAGTGAAAAACAGCTCAGCTGTGAGTATATGTTTGGCCACTGGCCACTGTGATGTTGATGAGTTTCACTTTGGCTCTAGAATGTAGAACTAGACTCACAACATCATCATTTTTCGGAGTGACTTGGGGAGATTATTATGAACTCTTCTACTCATGCTTTGAAAAGTCCTCTAAATCTGTCTTCTTCCTGATGGGAATTCAGCAGCTGAAACGAGCAGCGCTGTTGCTAATGGCTGGGGTGCTTGTTTCAGGAATGAAGGTAGCCAATAGCAAGGGGACCTTCCTCCACCTTCCAATGAGGAAGCGGAGGAGCAGTCATGTGAGGAGCTGCCAGTCTTTTGGATGGTTTGTAATTGGAAGGAACGTTACTACCTTTTACCTGGTGCTGTCTGAAACAGATCCTGGACTTCCTGTTTCCTGATACCTTATCCAGGTGAACGACAGCTGGCGTGATGCTCTTAGCTATAAGCTCTACTCCTTGGCAGGCTGGGCATTTGGCTTGGCATCTACACGATCTCCCCTAGGGAGAAACATGCTTTTAGTGGTCTGACTTTTGCAATTTTTTTTCACCTTGGGGAAATCAAGAATGATAGAATGGAGGACTACGCCATTTAAAAGAAGTGTAGTTTTACATTTTTTCCATTGTTATTAGTGTCTAAACTATAGAAGGGAGACAGGACTTGTGGCTGTTTGCTTTGTATTTCTGTCATCTTGACTGTTAAATTTTAAGAGAAAGTCTGGTCATAGACCAGCAGGTTCTTGACTTGGTATTTGCACTTCTGAAGTGAAGCCACACGTAGAGGGATCATGTGATATGAAGTGTGCATGAGAGATGTGTGCATTTTGGGAAATCACTGGGGCATCATTTCTTAAAGCCCTGTATAGGGATCCCATTTTCTTTGAGGACACAGATGACCACACCGATTAAATCCTCACTTATTTCCAGCGAATATCGTCAAGTGTGTAGTGCAGTTTGACAGATGCAGTAGGCCGTAGATGATGGTGATGGACGGATCTGTCCTGTTTAGTGTCAGCTCATGTCAGCTTGAATTCAGCCGTTGAACACTACAAAGGACTCTTTCCTGAAGGATTGCTGCGTCACCCTGCATAAAGGACTGTCACTGCACCAGGACTTACGTAAATACTGGAGGAGTTGCAAAGACCAAATGATGTGTTGGGCTGCTTTAATAAACGACTTTAGCTAACCTGGAGCACAGTCAATATTATGCTTCATTCATCATTAGTCCAAACATTTTTCAAAACAATAAACAAACATTCTGTTGAAGCACAAGACTGAACGAACCAGACTGCCAGACATACTGTGGGAAAGATCTTGGTATTAGAAAGTGATGGCTGCGTTTCCATAGTAACACTTGCTGTATTGCTTCTGGAATTGCCTGGGATGACAAGCAGTATCACTCAGTGTCACCAGCGCAGACTCCAACCCTAATTATATACTTTTACCATCTGCTTGTCATTCAGTTGCTGTTATCATTAAGAAGGGCTAAAGTTTCGATAAACACATACATCTGTTCCCCTGGGGTTGTAAGGGTACACACAGATTATTTACTGCCCTCTAGGGCTTTTGTAAATATACTACAGCTATTTATTTTAAATGGTATTTGTCTGGCTGACGACCTGCTCTTCCAAGTGTGTGTGTGTGTGTGTGTGTGTGTGTGTGTGTGTTTGCGTGCATAAATGATGTGTACAGTTAGTGAGACTTAGGGTAAAGCTGAATTGTCCCATTTTGTGTCTTTGTGATCAAACATCCTGTTCCACAGTGGCTGTGTTCATGGAATTATTATACTTTTTTTGTGCTGGATAAGTGATAGCGGTGTTCCGGAATTTTCCCATCTAGGGAAAAGGTAAACAGAAAGGTCAGCAAAGGTCCAGTCAGCTACCAGAAGGTCTATGATTTCAGGATGAATTATATTTCTGCCTTATCCATTGAAATATAACTGTACAGTATATCACTCCTCGGTTTTAAGAGTATGGGACTTACACCAAATATTGTCACCAAATACACCAAATAGTGCTGGTTTGATTTTTGTAAATAATAATAATGAGTTTTGAAGCCTCATATCCTCGTCTGGGGGTTACAGCACTTAATTACCTTCCATCTGTGCATTTTGTGAAAATCACCCTCATCAAGAATCAAGATCCTGTGGACAGTGCGTCCCATGATCCAGGGCCAAAATGGAGATTTCACTTTCGTTTTCCTTACATTTTTCTCTAATTTTATTCTACCTTTGCTGAATTTTTTGTGAAGTTTTTCTTATTTAACGTTTTAATTCAAGGTTCTGCTGTATACTTGATGGTTTTCAAAATTGTGTTGAGGGTCAGTTTCGGCGGAGTAGGAATGGAACACGAACACTGCAGAAAAACATAATGAAAAATGTATTTTGTAAAAACTAGAGAGCAGATAAAATATTTGCATTAGGAACAGAGCTTTCACACAGTGTACCCCGATGGGGGCATCCCCTGTGTCTGTTTGCTGCTCGAGCAAACTGTGGACCTGACCAGATCGTTGAAGGCTCTGATGCTGGGGAGATGTGCTCCTTTAACTGAGATGAAGCCATTGTGTCACTCTGAGGTCATTCTTCTTCTGGCTGATGATGGAAAAAGCTGCATATCAGCCTCTGCTCACGTGAGGTTTTTCCTTGGATCTTTTGATCGCATCTAATAAAGTTCCAAAGTGACTCAAAAAAAATGTGATCATTTAGAAGCGGCAAGAGCGATAACCTCAGCAAAGCATTTAATTATACCTGTGGGTCAGATTACAGACAGAGCCAAAGTGGATTAAACTATGGCGTCTTAATCCAATGAAACTTTTTATTTAAAATATATCTGGGTGTGCACAGGTATGGTCCAGGGCTTGCTGTCAAACTCTGGAAGTTCAGCGACTGTCCTGTTTTACGCATGTTTCCATGGAGATGACCTTGCATGAATTCCATTCTGAAACTATGTGAGTCCCGTAACATTAATTGTTCAACGTTTTTGCATTTTTTCAATAAAAATGACAAAAATTGTTTCTGCATTTTTTCATTTGTTGGAAAAGATTTTGGAGCAATTAACCATAGTGACATTGTGAGATGTTAGGAAATACTTTATAAACTGTCAGAATCTTACAAGAAAGGCTTATCTGAAAGCCAGTTCCAGGGATGTAAAGCTTGCAGTGTATTTCTCTTTGTATGTTCAGGGAAAATGTGCAGACTCCACGCTCACAGAGCCGAGGCAGGATTCAGGACCCCAGTCCTCGATGTCATATGAGTTGTCACTAGGCAGGACTGTCTGCCTCCTGGGAACGATTAGGTTTGTTATAAAAATGACTCCATAACAGTGCCTCTCATGGTTACTGCTGAGATCAGGAATCTCATGGTGGATCAGAAAACAGACAAAAAGATAAAAAAGGGAGTGGAATGTGGAGCTAAGGTATGTAGTAATACACACTGCGATGTTTACATCTGTGGCCGCCCAGCTGTAAGGAGTATGCGCCAGAGCATTTAAGCAGTTCAGCTGTCTTTCTAAAATAACTGGCCAGCAAACACATTTACACTCTGAGTCATACATATATATTGTCTTCCTCATTCTGTATCACTTATTGTGCAAGAGTGCGGCATTAAAGCAGTGGGAGGATATCACCCCCTGCTGGCTGCCGGAGATGTGAGCATCTGTCTGCCCACAGAAGCTGCCTGGCTCAGCTAAGTTACCCCAGCCAGTTTACACCTTTCAGTTCCAGGAAGAGCACGCTAGTTAGTTCTCCTGTTAGGGTTTAACTGTTAGAGTTGGCAAATAACATTATTGAGGAGTTGCCCATTGGGACACAAGAGTGAATTAGTGAATTAAAGATCGGCACTCACTGACCATGGCAAAAAAAACCTGCACAAGAATCTGCAACTTCCTCTAAAGACAAATCAGAGCTGGAGATCAAACCACTGCAACCTACTCAACCAGCTTGCCACTTGTTTAACATGTGACTATAATATAGGGTGACCACCTAGTCCATGTCAGGAGCTACAACAGGATTTGTAAACTACCATTTCATACATTTCAATTAAAAGGACCAGGATTTCACTTAAGCACTGGGTTCTTGCCATATGCTGATTGGTCAGTCTCCTATAATCATGCATATGTGTCAGTAATGTTAATGCGAAACAGCTGGATGAGTCTTTCAATCTAGGAACTAACCAAACATTTTAGCAGAGCACAGAACCCTTTCAGCTTTAAAGTAGTTCGTAAAAGCTGAAGTAGCTCATAGTGTCCCTCCTGACATGGATTAGGTGGTCACCCTACTATAATAGATTAGAACTTGCAGTTTATTAGTTTATAAATTACAGTTTCATTATTTTATGGCCATGTCCTTTGCGTGTAAGACCTATAAATGGTTTTCAACTGCTTTTTTATTGTAACCTGCACAGTTGTAACGTTCCTCCTGGAATCTTTTATTCCATAGTTGCTGTTTTTCTAGGTATCATCATGCATTTTAGTGATGTACTTTTTTATGACCAGTGATTGATGTGACAGAGTAACTCAATCAATAAGCAAGTCATATATCCGTGATTTAGGAAAAACACCTCCTGAATGCACGGACGTAATACACCCCCAAGCCGCCTGAGGGCACTCACTTTTAGATAGTCTGCTGATAATTATATGCCTTTAATACACATTTCTCTTTAAGGTAACTATTTAAAAGGGAGTTGTGGAGGGGTGGGTGAGGGTTTGTTCTGAAGTATTGGAGGAGGGATAATCACTGGAGTGATATATTTACATTTCTTACATTTTATATGTGTTAATTTTCTGTTCATTTATTGTTTTTTTTTTTGTTTGTTACTGTAAATCTGGTGAAACTTCCAGTTAAGTAGAAGTAGAATTCAATTTGTAATTTGGTTTGCATTATTTCACCTTGGACTGTATTGCATTGGTGAAAAGGTCCCATCCTCTACATAAACTTTGTTTGGACTGCCATCTGGTGGGCACTCGTAAGAGCTGGATTATTTCCTTGTACAGACTGTTCCTGCTTTGTTTGGAATGCTTCTGTAACTTTAAATGCAGGTATCCTCTTTGTCACATATATATGTACACACACACACGTGTTAAGAGCAGTAGAATGTAAATGTGAAAGACGTCTGAGAGCAATGACTCTGGGTGCTGCAACAGGAATGGCTGCAGTTGGGTGCCTGACTCCTTGATGAACAATATTTCCCCCAAAAGCTTTCTGTCAGAAGGGTGAAAATAACAGCAGAAAGAAGCAAGTTTTTACAGTACTGGTTGGATTTCTTTTCAATAATCTCTATGTTCTTTCTCCCAGTTATATATGTAGACCTATTATTTCCCAGTCGAGTTGCATCATAAGTGTCAGTGTAAGCAAACAATTCTTCATTGCTGTTACTCAGTGAAACACAGATGAAGGTGACTCTGCTTTATTCTATTTATTCTTTATTCTATTTATTACACTCCTGCTGTAATTGCTTCTTCTCTCCCTGGTCATTTTTGTGCCCCTGGGCAAAATCTCCACAAGTGTACCTCTGTTACATATATGTGCCCCATCCTTGTGTGTCTCAAATTCCCGGCCAAGGTTCAACAAACAAGCCATGTCATGTCATTCTGACACTGAGATGTCTTCAAGCCATCATTAGTGGCTCCCTCATCTGGCCTCAGTAGTGGTTGCATCCCAGAGCCACCAGCAGCCTGCTGGTCTTGGTGGCACCCCAGTGTTTGCTTGTAGAGGAGATGCTCAGTGGCAGTGATGGTGGGAGTCCCACATGAGACAAGATGAGCACAGAGCTGTCCAGCCCATTGTTGCCAATGGTCACATTCTACCAGAATGCCCTGACAATAACATCCAAACATCCCACAGTCCCCAGCTATCCCCTGTAGGGAAACTGAATAAGGAACATTTACCCTGGGAAGAAAATGCTTTGTTTGTATAGTACGTCTTAGTGACAGAGCACCAATTTCAGAGGCCATTAAGTTGCAAAATATCTAGTGAAATATCTAATAATAATATCTGAACATTCAAACACAGCATACAATTCAGTTTGCAAATTTAAACAATTTTATTTAAAAGAACAGTTTAATTTCAGAGCCAATGGCCGTGTGACCAAAAGCATTTGAATTATTATTATTATTTTCTTAGTAAAATGAAAATGCCGAAAACATTCCTGGAGCCTTCAATTTAGCACAGACAGTGCCCTCTACAGGATGC